GTGCTGCTGATCAGCACCAGCGTGATGCCATGTCATCGGACGTTGGAAGCCGAACGGTGAGCCAAGCTGAAGGCCGCTGCACGCGTGCAGTGCGAAAAATGCTGGGATTCTTCTTCCGTACTGAGCTGCATGGCTTACTGAGTCACATGTTCCCCATTCTTTACTCATTTGGGGCAAGGACATCTAGAAGCTGGTACCACAAGTGTAGACCAGGCCTGGGGGACTCCCCCAAAAGCCTATATACACACGGTTAGAAGAAAGCTTTTACTACACGATGGAAACTCTACAGAATCCAACAAGATCGTTTTTACCCGTACGAAGCCGTCATGTTGTCCGAGGTTGGAAGCGCAGACCTGCCGAAGAAGTTTGAAGGGCCAGGGCCTCGTGGTTCTGCTTTTTCGTTGTGGTTTAGGGTTTTTTGGGGTTTAGGATTCAGGGGCTAGGGTTTAGGGTTGGGGGGTTTAGGGTTTAGGGCCTAGGGGCTAGTGGGGCGGGGACGGGGGGGGGGGGGGATAGGCTGGTTACTTTCAGGGTTGTTGAAGAGTTCCGTTTCGGGCTTTGGGGGCTTGGGGTTTCGGCTTCAGATGATGGTTTTCCTTTTCCTGGATGTAATGTACATAACAGTGACATACACTGACATGCAGTGACACACATCGACATGCGCTCGGACACATTGACATGCATCGGTGCACATTGACATGCATTGATGTCACATTGGCATACACCAATGGTCCAATGCACATTGACATACATACGTGCGCATACATACATGGATACAAGTTCTCGTTTTATTTTTGTGTCAGTGCCAGATGCCGTCCTTGCCTGCACATACGGTTTTTCCATGCGTACCCGCCGGCTATAAGCTATTAGTACTAGATTCCTCATCCCTGAGTTGAAAGTCCTGAGTCCCAAGTACCGAAACCCTGAACCGTCATTCTTCCGGTTTTTGTTTATGCCGCCGGTATAGTATGGTTTTGTTTATGCAGTTTGCTTAGATTTGACATAGGGTTTTCTGGCGGGGCCCCCGATCTTAAACATTGAAAACCTGAAAACTTAACCCTAAATCTTAGATAGGCAAGGGGAGTTGTTGAAGGCAAAGCCAAACCCTAAGCTTTTTGACCTTACGGTTTTGGTTGGTCTTAGAACCTTTGAACTTTCAAGGGTCCGGCTGGGTTCCTCTAAGGGTTCCTTCAAGGGTTCCTGAAAGGGTTCCTTTAAAGGGGACCCTAAACCCTAAACCCTACTCTTGGCCAAGGCCAGGATTCAGCCGCCTCAAGCGAGTGGAGCAGGCCCGGGGCAGTTATAGATCACACCCCAAAGCTATTTGGGGCTTTCCGAAAAGTAGGGGTGCCTTAAGGGTTCCTTCAAAGGGCTCTGTAAGGGTTTAGAGTTGCCGAATTTTTAGGGGCGCCTTAGTCTGGGATCCTTAAAATGAGGATCCTACTTTTTATGGTGCTGTATTGGGGTCCCCTAATTTGCGGAAACTCCCAGTTGTTTGAGAAGGGTATGTCGATGTGTTGCGGTTACTATATAAGCGCGCTATAAGGGTCAAGGGGTTCAGGGTTTAGGGTTCAGGAACAGTCGGTGGTTTTGTGTCAGGAAGGCAACCGTAACAAAGTGTACTTAAAGGATCATGGGACTTAGCAAATGGGCGAGTAAATAAGACAACTGTACTTATAATTACTTATAACCCCGATTAAGGTACTTATAACGGTACTTACTAAGTCCCATGATCCTGCAAGTAGGGTACATTTCTCTGGGCTTCCTGCCTAGCTCCCAGCCAGCCCCCAGGACTTCCTAGAATCTGCGCGAGTTTTGGCATATCCCTGACATCATAAGCTTTGTATAGGGTGTAGGGCGGCTTAGAGTTTAGGGTAGTTCATGCCGCAGACTTAGTTGAGGGCTTTTTAAGGCGATCTGATCCACGTCGAGCCCAGCAAGTCAGCTAGCCTTGCGGGAGATGGCAAGCTATTTTTCTTATGGTATGCAATGCCAGCACTGCACGCGACCAGACTTTCTCCACTACCGCACCGCCTTTTACGACTCACTGGGTAAGGCCCAGGTCACTTGGGCCTGGGAGGTTGGAAAGCGGCTTTTGATTCCCATGAACCCTAAGCGCTAAACCCATGAACCCCAAGCCCCAACTGCCAACCCAACGCCATACATCCTAAACCCTCATCCCTACACCCATAAACCTCAAACCCCTTTCTCTGAGCCCTAATGCATGGGTTCTCGATCTGACACAGGAACATTATTGAAGTGCCGGTCGTACTCTCCTGCATTAAGAGGTGGCAGGCTGTATCATAATAATGTAGGGGCCTTAATACTTAGAACAGGGTGTTCCTTTAATGGGTTCCTTTACGGGGATCTACAGTAGGGTTCTATAATGCAGGGGCCTTAATAGTTAGAATACTGTAGGGTTTGGGGGTATAGTATACCACAACTACAATAGGGAACTCCAAAAACCTGTTCTAGTTATTAGGCCCCCTACGTTATGCAATGTCATCATTGCCCGCGTAGTTCTTTGAGTTAGAGTACCATTCGGCATCAGCTAAACCTCTAAAGCATCCAAAGCCCCGAATCCCAAACGCCCTAAAACCTAAATCATCAGCGTTACGTCGGGCTCCGAGAGAGCCCGTATACCAACCCTTAGCCCGTAAAGATGTAAGCCCTGCGAAAGTGAAACCTGTGTCACGTAAACCCTTAGCCTAACGTTAAATAACCTTGGTAAGAACCTGTTGTATAGCCTGACAAAAACCCCTACCACCCTGAACCGTGAAGCCTATACAAGGCTCACCCTGGCAAGGTTTTCTAGCTGTGCACAGTCGGAAAAGAGCCCGTAAGAAAAGACAAACACACCTAAACATGGGCTGCGCCTGAGGAGAAGGAGGAGGAGCCAGGGGACGAGTCTCAGCCGCTAGATGTGCGCTGCTCCCGGTACATGCCGGGGGCCCGGGATGTATGGGTTTTAGAGGTTTCTTCTTTTGGATTTCATGAAAGGACTTTTTGTTGTGCCTTGGCGGTCCGGGTGTCGGGTTGATGGTTCTTTGAGGTCTAAAATGGTTTAAAACACCTTGAAAATCCGTGCTTGGCAGTACCATATGGGAGTTTCCGAGGTTTGGGGTACCTGATTTAGTCAGTCAGAGTAGACCTTGCCCAGTTTGGGTAATAATGCCACCGTCAACCCATTAGATGATTATCCCTATGGTCCCCCCTACACATCACCGATAAATCACTGCTACTACCCCCATTAGATGATCATTCCTAGGGTCCCCCCTACACTTCACCGATAAATCACTACTACTTCCCCCATTAGATGATTATTCCTATATTCCCCCCTAAACTTCACCGATATATCACTACTAATACCCCATAATCAACACACTTCTAGGAATAACCGTAACCCCATCTATTATCTCTAAGGTGGCATTATTACTCAAAAGGGGCAAGGGGTTCCTTGTAGAATTTGGGTTCAGGTTTGGCGGCTATCCGTTGGGAAGTTTCGGAACCATCGCACACCGGACTGGCCAAGCAACATTATGCGAGTGTGTGCATAGCCACAATTCACCACAAGCGAGCCCCTCCGGCAAGGCTGCTCAAAATAAGCAGGAAATCTTGGCTCCGAGATTCTTCCATCTTTCTTCTCGGTCAAATCGATCTTGTGGTTTTGCCCGCCTACGTGGATCGTTCTGCATGGACAACACGATTGCAGTCAAGTAGATTAGACACCTACTGGCACAATTCGCATGTGCTTGTATTGAATTGTTGGGTAGCTTGTGGCTAGAAGGCGTTCCTTTGCAGCCTCAATGGCCCTCCGAGTTCGGCAGATTTTGCAACGTTGCAGGCTTGACTGCAAGCGAGACATAAACCCTGCGATCCGGAGACTTTTCATCGATGCCCAAGGTTTGCCAATAAACTTAGCCGGCAAGGTGGCCATCCTCGCATCGACGTCGCTCTCACAGGCCCTACTTGACAGCCTGCGTCTGTCAGAAGAATATAAATTTGCGGTCACGAAGAGTCCAGCGCCAGAAGTTCCCGGTGTGAAGGGGCACTCCACAGGGGAAGACGCCCCGATGAAAGTAGCCCTGCAATTCGTGAAAGCGATGGAAGCAAACGGCATCGAGGTCACCATAGCTGGGTCGTTGGCACGTAACGTCGCGACTGCTTGGCACTATTTCCTAGCCTTACTTTTTGATTCACTGGGGTCCTTCGTTCTTGTTATGTAGCAAAATAAAACTACTTCCATGTAAGTAGGGTGCTGTTGTCGGTCGCTGAGGTGACAGAACCACGATTCACAAAGAATATCGATGTGAACCTGCGTATCGGACCTGGCAGTGTCGACAAGTTTGTGGCAGCAGCGACAGCCGTCGGTGCTGAACTACGAAGTGAAACAGAGATTGGTTGGAAGAACTTTTGAATTTCCCGCAGACGTGGGCATTGATCGAAACCTTCTGAACCGGTCAATTCAATAGCAGGGTCTGGGCAGCTCAGGAGATCGGGAGGCCAAGACGTGGACGGGGCATCCTTACGGATGACGAGGTCTTCCTCGTTGGAATCAGCTACAGCGGCATTCCGATCGACGTTTTTTTCAACACTTGGTGGGGCAGTCGCTCGGTTGCTGTCATGTTGTGTTATGCCGGGTCCTTGCTGAGTTCCAGTCGCACCCACAAAGAGCTTTCAGCAACCCAGGTCAAGATGCCGTTGATGATGCGTTTCTCGTAGAGGTTGATGAACAGGCTTGGCGCTTCATTTCTCCCACCAGTCTTTGTCTTTTCAAGATTTTGTTTCTGTCAGAGTCCTCTCCTGAGCGTGTTTTGCTAAAGCACGTCGAGGACATTTATGCCTTGCTCGAAGTGTCAAAGATTCCGGTTGACCGCAGATATGTTTCTGCGTCTGTGTCCAAACTACTACCCAGCACAGACTTTCGCTTTAAGCTTTGGCACGGCATCGCCAGTGGCGAGAAGTTGTCCAGCATACTCGCAAGGGCTTTGAACTTGTAGCCATCCAAAACGGAATGGCCTGCTGAGACCGAAACAGTCGCAGCTGAAAAACTAACGGCATGTAGGAGTTACAAATTGTGGCTGTCTTGTTGCGAGGTGTCTGTGCCTCTGTTTCGTTGAAGGCCGGCCTTAGCAACGTTGTCGGCTTCCCAAGCTCTTATACACCCACACAGGAAGCCGCTAGAACGGAAACACTGCACGCAGCGCGAAAGTGGGCCGGATGGTGGTTTGGGGTTTAGGGTTTCTGGTTGAGGGTTAAGGGCCTGAATTACTTTCAAGTACTTGTCCATCCTTTCCTCCTGAAAAAAGGCTGTTGGAGGGGTAAGATGAAGCGGCTATTTGGTGGTTGATCCAAATTTCAGTTTCCTGACCCGAAATATAGCGAACATATCATACCCGAAACTCAATCAAAAAAGGGCCCTGTCTTTAACCCATTTAGGGTCAGGGTCTAGGGTTTAGTTACTTGATTACTTGAGCTTCCTAACGCAACCCGAAGCTCGGATCCTTAAAGTCTCTAAGCTTTGTTTACATAGTGCATACCAATAAGCCCATCGCAACACATAGTGAGGGGACCCACGCAGAAAAAGAGAAGCCAAAAGCATGCAAAATCAAGCTCCAGCATCAAGGGTAGGGCCGGGTGGAATAACGTCAAGCTTTTAACAACTCAAAACGCAAATACGCTCTATTGTTACCTTCAACATAATAATATTTTTGACCCAATTTTTCATCAATTTTTTCTATGGTATAAACATTTTGGCTAAAATTGCCCACTCTCTCTTTTTCATTGGGCTTCCTTTTCCTGAATATTTTAACTTCATCACCAACACTTAATTCAGGATAGACCCGATTTCGTTTAGCATTCATATTTAAATGCAGTTTAACTTTTAATTCGTTGCTCGGTTTTCTGGCATCCTTTGGGGTGAAGCCAGTTGCGAAATGTTTCATTCTATTATTATATGTTACTAATATTTCAAAAATATAATCCGGCCACTGAATATTGTTCTTACCCTTTTTCTGATCGGCTTCAACTCTACGATATAACAAATCTTTGAACGTCCTAATGGCCCTTTCGCTGAAATTTGCATGTGCCCTAGTTCTATAGTGTTCTATGTTCTGTTCCTGTAAATACTTTTGTATTGCCTCCTTCTTCATTGCTCCCTCGTCGTCGGTATAAATTAGTTTGGGCTTCTTCCCCATTTTATGTAAGCATTCAATCATCCCACTCGCTAAATCTTCTTCCTTCTTACCTTTAATTGCCACGACATGCATAAACTTATCAAATATATCAATCATTAACATTCCTACTCTAAATTTTTGATCCTTCAAGTCGTTGATAAAAAACAAATCCATCTGATACTCATATGCTGAATGCGGGGCGACAAAGCTGTTTGAACCGACGGGCTTTCGCTTTTGATCAACATTCTTCCTAAAAAACTCGTCAATATCAGACATCGTGATGGTTTTATCTTTCTCCCGCGCTTCTTCTAAAGTCCGGTTTTTTGAACCAAACCCCGCGCGATCAAAATATACATCATTAATAATTTTTTGTTTCTCACTCAGATAAAAACAAAAGAAAATAATGATTTAATACTTAAATTCAATCATCATTCGTCATCCATCGGCTTTATGATCTTGAACTTGCTCATATCATATTTGGGTGTGCCGCGCTTTGCTTTAAAAGGCTTTTTTGCATTCATTATTTCAGACAGCAATTCTTCTGTCAACTCATCGGGGTTCAGTTTGATATTGTTGGCTTCTTCATACTCCTTGATCTTCTTTCTCTGATTGTGTCGTAGTGCAGATTCTCGCTTCTTTTGCATATATTTTTCATCATTTCTGCGCTTGTTGTAATACAATCTGCTGTATATGGCGAGTTGCTCTTTGATTTCATCCATTGTCATATCCTCGGGATTTTTACTCATATTATACTATACTATATATTATTTTTTATCTTTAGACATATTTCTATATATTAAAAAAACATTTAGTATTTTAAAAAATCCTTAGAAAATTTATACTTAAAAAGAAAATAAATATATAGTTTAATTATATTAGTATATGTCCAAAGCCATTAAGCGTAATACGGAAGCACTACAAACATTTTATAACAACAGAAGAAACCGCATCAGCCAAGCCACCAGAACAAAAGTTCAAAATATAATTAACTTATATTCAGATCGTAAGATCGCCCACTTCACCACAGCAGACAATTTAATCAGGAAACTCACCACCGCAAAAACAGACAAAGAAAAAACTAAAGCAGAAAAAGAATATGATAAAATATACGACAAGCACAAGGATAAAGAACAACTAGGTCAGAGAATGGCACAAGCACAAGAAGACAACAAACGAACGGGAAGAACCAACCCGAGGAAACCAAAAAAATATTCAATCAATGTTCATTTATATAGGCTTAAGACAGAAGCAGACAAAGGTGTATTAAAAACGTCTTTTAGAGACAGTAGGGGTAGGGAATATGTCCCAGTATACATGAACCCTTTAACTGCTAATGTGCATACAACACAGTGGGTAGAAAAATTAGCGGGGAGACGCATATTCAAATATGAGAAAGCCGACTCTAAGACGTTCTATAGGCTCAAGTTGTTATTAGTGACAGATGACAGTTTTAAAGCCGAAGTTGGTTACGCAGAAGGTTACATTGACTGTGTTAAAGTTAATTATGCCGAAAGGGTAGATAACGCCGATGCTTTCAAGCCACAAGACGAAGACCTAACAAACACAGTGAATGTCAGTATGTATCACAGATATATTCAGACACCACTAGATCCACAGTATGAGACCTTTAAGGAAGCCATTAAAGTAGAACATTATGTTAGGAACGAGTGTTGGTTTAACACCTTGACCGATTATTATAAGGATACCCTTATGGGAGATAACAAGCGAGAGAAGAACAAACTAACAAAAGAAGCCATCCTAAAGATCATAAATAAGACGGAAGAAGATTTTAAAACAAAAGGGGCATCAATAACAGACATGGCCAAGGTGTTTGAACATTTTAACTTGCAAGTGAGAATATATGATGCCTTTAATACTCTAATTTATAAACGCGACCCAATAAAGAGAAATCATCACATCCCAGCCTTATACGCTATAGTGAAGAACAATCACATCTACACGGCAAGTGATAATGTGAATGTGTTGAAGCAGATGATACCAAAAAGCAGTAATTATAATATATCTGTTAAGGCATCTTCAGATTATCACATTAACGAGAAGGAAGAGCCGGTGGAATGTAAAATGATCACATCCCTAGACGACATCAGGAAGTATACCGAGCACAGCGAATATACATTGGTATATAATGGCTACGACCTGTCTCATCTCTTTTATCTTAGCAAACAGGCAGGGTATGAGCCACAGGTTAGATTTAGTGCAGGGTTCGTATCTGAACTTAACTTCAAGTTTAAGATCAAGATAAACAGCAAGACCCACAAAGAGATTAAATACAAGGTTAAGACCCAGAACTTAGTGAATAGTTCTATAGATGGCTCCATCTGTGTGAGAACGGAGCAGATCTACAATAAGATGTCTAAAGCTATGTTTAATTTTAACACCGCCCTCTTCAAGCCCACTCATAAGTCATATTACAACGAAGTGGATGTAGAGATTTTTAAGGAGTGTCGCACAATCCCCCCAACGGGTGAAATAAATAAACATTATTGTTTATATAACCCTAAGACAGACAAAGACGACAAATACTTGTATACCCCAGAAGTGACTACGGAGATAGATGTAAGAAAAGCTTACACTTCTGCTTTTAATAAGATCGCCGAGATACCGGTATTCACTCAGTTTGATATCTGGAAGCCCTTCAATGGCAACGTAGCAGATTTTCACGATCTCACTCTCTACTTGGTCAAGCCCACCAAGCGGAGTTTATTTTTCAATAAAGCCTACACTTTAGTATATGGTATGTTTTTAAAGCAATTTGTGAAGCAATGTAAGATTCTTTATTATAAGCAACCATCCAGAGTATACAAGGTGGATTATAGGAAGATCACAGCGGAATTATGGAAGACAGACATCTCGGACAAACCAGCCGAAGACATCAGAATCAAAAAACTAATAGCCAATGTTAACTTCGGGCTACTTGAGAAGAACACGAACAAAGCCCATAAAAGTTATGCCTTTGATACTTTAAAGGAAGCCTTATATTATCAGAACAAGATCGGAGGAAAGATTAACAGAATCTCGGGTATGTATGTTGACGAAGTTGAGTTACCTAACGGCGAGACAGACTTCATAGAAAAGGAGATGGACAGAAAATACTATTGCTTAACAGTGACCGATAAAGTCACCCTACGAAACGGATATATATACATCAAAGAATTATTATTACAACACCATAACTTTAAAATGCACACCGACTACACCAAGCTCACAGAAAATCATATAGGAGTATGGAGTGTTAAAACAGATGCCTTCGTGATCAGGAAGGAGCATTTAAGACGAGCCAAGAACCTAATAGAGTTCTCAGATCGTATCGGCGGGTGGAGACACGAGAAGAGTAAAAACATAGCGGAACCCACAGAGCAGTGGGCACCAAAAAAGAACGAACTGATACCAATTCCCGTAGTTAGCAATGAGACCCGACCCATAGAAAACGAGTGGGACACGGAAAGCATAGCAAAAGATATCGTAACAAATAATCCTATGATGATCCGATCTAAATACGCAGGTGGTGGCAAGTCGCATATAGCAAAGCATTTCAGCAAGTTGGGCTATAAAACTCTGTTCGTAGTGCCCCAGAACAGTTTAGCGCAGAATATAGACGACACGATAGTAGGCGGATGCCTCGATGCGGTGACTACTAATAAGTTTTTCGCCATCCCTGTTGGCGATGGGGAGAAGCTCCCCGAGTTTGATCATAGTCCTTATAACTGTATAGTCTTTGACGAGATATATATGAATGGCACACATATATTAAATAGAATCAGAGAGTTTATTAAACGAAACCCGAATAAAATCATAATCGGAGC